TAAACTGGCGGTTTCAAAATGACAAATTTGTTGTCATGTCAGACATGACAAATTTGTTGTCAGAATAACATACATACACATACACCTCCCACACAACGGACCGACATTGAACAAAAACAAACAAATAGGAAAAATGGGGGCTTTCCAAACTGTAGGTCCTAAAATTTAAGCATTTGGAGGTCGAAAAGAACGTTTCTTTTTTTTTGCTGCCATGTCAAAAGAACATATATGCACGTACACCTCCCATACAACTGGCCGATATTGAACAGCAACATACAAAAAGTACGAAGAAGGAAACGAGATTTCTCAATTGTTGGTTCCAAAATATAAGCATTTGGAGGTCGAATGGAAGGTGTGATCTTTTTTTTTTTTTTAAGTCAGAACAACATACATGCACGTACACCTCCCACACAACAGACTTATCTAAAACAGCGATGATTGATATGGAAACAAATTATAAAATGAAGATAAGGAGTGGGTTTTTTTAACTGTCGGTGCAAAATCCGAGCATTTGGAGCGAATGGAACGTCTAATCTTTTGTTTTGTTGTCCAGAATCCAAGACGATGTGAAACGATGTTCTCAGGATTAAAGAAGCATTATGTTAACATATTTGCAACTAACTTTAAAATATTTTTATTGAAATATTATCGCGTGATTGTCGTTTGCCTCCATTTTTAAACTTATTTGTACAGTTATCTCATTTCTGACATCTATGGTTAGTGCTAAAAGAGGCCACACCAGGTCCTCTTACAAGATTGTAAACAAACATGGCTGACAGCTGGTTCTTGCTTTTAAGTGCAAACGTGATGTGTCCTATTTTAGCACCCTTGGTTCCTGAATGTCTCTTGGCTGAAATTGAGAACGGTTGATTCAACTTACTTTGTCAAGAAATGATCGGAAAATTAACCTTTTTAGGGATACAAAGAGAAATATAGAGATAGATACAATGTAGTAATAGATAAATAGATAGATAGATAGATAGATGGATAGATAGATAGATAGATAGATAGATAGATGGATAGATAGATAGATAGATAGATTGATGGATGGATAGATAGATAGATAGATAGATAGATAGATAGATAGATAGATAGATAGATGATAGATAGATAGATAGATAGATAGATAGATAGATAGATAGATAGATAGATAGATAGATAGATAGATAGATAGATAGATAAATAGATAAATAGATGAAGATAACGTCCCTTGTAATTGTGTCTATTGTGTAAATGATTTGCATTTGTGAACGCATTAAAACAAACGTGGGGAAAATTGGCATGATTCAGTGCGTCAACGCACATCACTCATACTGTTGAGCAAAGTGTAAGAATGTGGTCTGCACGCCACGTCTGGCCTTGAGCGGTTTCGAGCATCCCCAAAATTTGTCCACATTTTTGCACGTTGGCAGCACGCAATTGCACATACGGCGGGTTGTAACCTAGGCTTGGCACGCCTTACATACTTCGTCAGGAATGCGGAAATTAGCGGAGTTTTGTGTGTAGTCAACAGATCTTAGATCAGTTTACAGAAGATAATATGTTACCTGTAATATTACTTTGAATTGATCCTACAACTAAAAGGTCCTTGGCAGTGCCTAAAAGATACGGCCAAGTTATACAATATGATATGATATTTTCCAGAACACTACTGATTGTCAATACTGTTCATTATTTTCGCCTAGACTAGGCTATATTGTACGTGACAGGTCATACAGAACTGTACGTTTGGACTGGTACCACTGGCCAAAGGTTGAGTTCCATCGCAAACATTTACATGAGAAATAATGTCAATAACTCACAATGTACCTGTTTGATAAGGCTGGCAAATCTACCAAATATCACTATGGAGACAGAAGTATTTGATGCTCAGGGTACACTGAAAACATTTCGTCAGCAGAATGAGGGATTACTAAGAAACCCTGTTGCCTTAAGCTTGTAGATACGCGGGGCCTTGTCCAATCTCCACTGGTGGGTAAAATTTTCTTGTCTTGATCTTGAGTACCCATGTCCTGCTGGCATTTTTACACAATATTTTCCAATAATTTTATTTCTAAATTAGGCCATAGACCCCCAATTTTTGCCCTGCGGTGGCATAGTTACTGCTTCATTCGTTGCGTTTCGATGCGGTGTGATTCGTTGTACCAAAAAATACCCCCAAATCGTACCTATACAGATGGCTGTATAGAGGGTACTGTACGTGCAGAAGAACAATTGTTGGGCTCCACAGGACAAGGGTTAAGTCAAAAAACAGTCAACCAGAGTCTCTATATGCATATACCGTTCGCAAAGCAGCAAGGCATTAACAGGTGAGCGTTTTAATGAAATATTTCTGTATCGATGATTCAGTTCATGTCGTCCATTACTCGTAATATAAGGGTTGGGTAATCTCCAAGCAGATGTTTCGGTGGTTGTGAGGCAGCTAATATTAAGTTGGCCAATTTTATGCTGTCTTTGCTGCCAAAGAAATATTCGTTTGGAGATTTTTTAAATTGGGGACTGGATAGTTGAAAGGACCTGGGAGTTTAGTCTCGATGAGAACCTATCCACAGAGACGGTTGTTTAAATAGAAGCTTATAACGGGAGAAAAACGTATTAACAGTGGGCTAAAACGTGGGGCTAGACATCATAGTAAGGCCACACCGACTTAATTTTAAGGATGACATCCTCTGAACACCCCCAAACTATTAATGCGCGCGGGCGAATAAAAAAAAATCAGGCCAAAAATAAAAATACCACTAAACCACAGGAATACAGTGGCAAAGCTGGTATTGTGAATTTGCGGCAGAACATAGCAACATATACGACAGGCCGGCACATGCTGGCTTTTTGCGGATTTATGAATCGACATTGTACGTATGTACTGAGGTCTTGAGTCGTGACTCGTGGAGCTTCGGTAGCCTGGGTTCCACCCTCCAGAGTTACCACCTCCGTACCGTCGCTATATAGCAAGCTACCATGGACTATCCAGGCCAGAGCCTCGCAAGGCGTTTTTTTTGTGTGTGTGTGAGAACAGACGAAAATCAATCCGCGCGCGGATGTCATCCATAAAATTAAGTCGGTGTGGCCTAATAGCGAATTAATGTGTAACTGAACTGCACTTATTTGCAATGGAGTAAAGTTGGTTCATCTTACTTTGTAAAGATATAACCAGGAAACCTACATGTTTTATCGTCTCAGTGTTACATACACAAAAACAAAAGTACAGCGACTTTTGTAAGGTAACGTAACATACAGACAGACACCTAAGTATGAAAAATGACCTATGTACAGACTATGACTTGTATAAATGAATCAACATGCTGGCTTTGTTGTGTCACTTACACTGCTTGTTCCAAGGTCTAAACATTATTTGGTATATTTTCCTTTTTTTAGGTTTTAATATGCAGTCGTAGAGAGCCGCATATCATCACCAGCCAAGAGAAAAAGGTACGATACCTCACCGGATTAGTATAAGGCCACACCAAGTAAATTTGATGGGTGACGTCCTTTGGAGACCCTAAATCTAATGCGAGAGGGCGAAAAAAAACAAGAAGGGCCCTAAAAAACAAGATGCCTAGGTTCGAAATATACTAAGAGACGACAAATGTTAGGACACAAATTGAATGAGGTTACACAGTGTAACAAGCAAGAAGTCTTTTATTCATCATCAAAACAGCAATAAATCAGGTGGAACGTGTGGACAGTGAAAAATTTTCTGTTATTGACAGGATGGTCCTGTCAATAATGCAAATTTTCTGTTATTGACAGGATGGTCCTGTCAATAGACACTTTCTTCGCGTTACAGGTTTCACGTCAATCTGACGATTTGCTGGTTATAGTTACAGGAAGCGAAATTTCTTGTGTTTTTTCTCGGAAGAGGCCAAAATCAATGCGCGCGCGGACGTCATCCATAAAATTTACTTGGTGTGGCCTAAACTAATCTGGAGGCATGATGATGATGATGATGATGATGATACCTTTAAGAATGACGTTGTATTCATTTCTAGTATGAAATGTAGCATGAAATGTAACACATTTCATTGAGCAAGCGGAATAAAGCTTTATTGCTGATCAGTTTAGTACGTTTATCATGCGTATATAAGACAGCATAATGCAGTTTAATCTCTTTATGGTTATTTATACCTTATGACCTTGGATCTAACGAATACGTTACACGTATCTGTGTATGCTACACGTATCTGGTCTCAATGAGAAAATTGACAGACCGTATGCAAGTAAATAAAGTATGTTTTACTTAGTTAATAATTACCCCCTGTCTATAGACTAACCATTAAACAAACATGGTTTGACCTAACGGTGATGTTGATGATTTTTTTTTACCCTTGTCCTGCGGAGCCCATATGAACTGGTTGCAGGTACTGTACCATCTATAAGTCTATAACTATATGTACGATTTGGGGGCATATCTCGTGCAATACATTACACCGCAGCGAAATGCAACGAATTCCAAAGCTATTACGCCACTGCAGGTAAAAACGCCAAGGGTCTATGACCTGATTATGACATCAAATCATTAAAAAATATGTATAAAAATTTTGGCAGAACAAGGATTTTGATGCATATTATAACATTTTGAGGTAGGTTTATTTTCACGGTAAACGCTTCAAGTTATCCGACCATAGAGGTCAAAGTCTCTTCTATTCAGCTACAAATTATATTTGTCGTGTAGTCACGACTTAAGAAATGGTATGTGTTCCTAATTTCAGAAATCTACGTATAAACCGTCGACCAGCGGAGCAGCTAACAAAGCAGATGTTGGGTGAAAGGACGGAAGGCTTCCTGACTGTGAACCTAACTGACAACCACAATCGCTACCAGCGGTTGTGTAAAAAACTACCCGACTCTTCTCATGCCAAAAGGGCAGTATGGGTTTCTTGTTTAATTTTCTTTCCTTTCTCCTCATTTTCTGATTTGCATTTGCAGCATGGTTGTATACACAGGGTACATTTTTATTTGTTTTTGCATAATTACTATGTAAATGAGGTCAAGGTGCCACCATGCAGAATAACATGAAGGTAAGGGGTATGTTTACTTTACACAAAATGGCGCGAGACGAGTAGGGCAGCGCGCAGGTGTAGAAACTAGCTGATATTCCACATCACTTCTTTCTCCTTTTCCTTCTGTTTTCTTCATATGCAGCATTCACCATTAACTATTCAACCTCATTATATTTCAGGTATTTTTGTGGTTTTGTCACCGCAAAAAACACATGTGACAAGCAAGTTATCCTAGCAAATGACATTTGAAAAAAAAATACAATGGCAAGTATAAGTTCAGTGTATTGCTGGATAGCTTGTTTTCACATGTAAAAAGTTGCCTTGAAAAGACGTCCTTACTGTTGCGACTGTTTCAGCTGTAACTACTACTGAGGTGACGACTGCCACTGCCGCCCTCCCTCAAGCGACTTCTAGCAGTACTGCAGCCGTGTCAGAGACCGCAGCGTCCGTGGTACAGACAGGAAAACCGGTTTTCACCAGACCGACAATACCTTCGGTCGTGGATGGAGCAGGAGAATGTAAGGAGAACCTCTATAGACGCCATGACACCACTATGTTTACAAGTCACGACTTTTAGGATGGGTTAAAATTCCTCATAAAAAGGGCTCCATTTGGAAACAAGGGCAGAACTTTGGCCATAGATACCTATGGTTATACACAGAAACGAGTCCTCATGAAAGTACTTTCTCACATGATGCATTTCGATCTTTAAAAAATATTCCGCACGAGAGAGCCACAGGAGTCTGCCTCCCCAATATAAAAAGAAAATTGGGAGTTGACCAGCTTAAACTCTGACAACAGCTGACAACATACAGTAAACAAACCCTACTTTTGACCTAAATTTGAGCGGAAGGATATCATGTATCCATCCGCTCTGGGCAGGCAAAACCTCATCACATAGGTCTTTAATTATAGCCACTTAACTGGTAAAATGAACAAAATTTGACCAAAGTAGAAACGTTTAGACCCTACATGTTCCAATAGTCTCAAAAAATGACGTAAATTTTAAAGAGAACAAAATTTTTCCAAGATATCAACTAGGGAATATGTACAATCGTCTAATATTTCGCAATACTGCGCAACGTAATAGTGACTTATGCCCACAACTACTGATGCAACATAACTCGTTAGCAATAGCTTTTTGCATTGCCCTTTAAATGATATCATGACATATCAAGGAAAATGTTGACAGTTTTTTTTTTCTTTCCCCAAGCCTTCGCCATGTTGGAGTGTACAGGGGAGTACATGCAGATTGTGTTCCACCGCGCACATATTCCAGACTTCGATAAGGACCACCTGCACCTCATAGACCCATCATGCACTGCGACCGGAAACGCCACACACCTCATTCTGACTGCAGCGTTTGACGGATGTGGAACTGTCAAGAGGGTGAGTACTGATTGTGGCGCCAGGTGGCGTAGTGGTAGATCATTCGACTGTGAACCGGGAGACCCGGGTTCGTACCGGGACTTGTCTGGACATGCCCCGTCTGTCAGGCTATGACTGGCTTTGTCCTTAGGAAAGGACAAGCACTTTACACGACTTTCCTCACCCCAGCCAGGTGTGAATGAAACCTTACTTCGGTTGGGAAAAGTCGTATTGAGGTCACCTTGTGGCGCCGAATGGCAGCCACACAGACCCTTGCGGCACAAAAATGTGGAACAAATATGTATCATATGTATTACATGTATGTGTATTATTGTGTGTATTATTACCATTTGTATCATGTGATTGTAAAACCTGCATCAATTCATCACTACAAGGCTGTATTTGCACGGGTGATGTTTGGCCAATAATCAATTTATTATTATAAATAAGGCCAAATTGACTTAATAATTTGGATGACATCCTCTAAAGACCCCAACCTATTGCGCGAGGGCAAAAATCCAGCATAAGAATGCTGCTAAATCATAAACAAACTTCCAAGATAAGAACGTCAACACATTGAATTATATCTCCGTACATAGTGTCCATGTTAATTCTTTAATAGGAACGCATTGTACAGTTGTTTATAGTAAACGTATGGTAATGACTATTAAACATAGCACACACACAAAAACGTATTAAAAAACTGTAACTACTGAAACAATATTGTCAAGGGCTAGCTTTAATATAGTGTGATTACAGTCGAGTAGAGCTAAGCATGGGGTTCGGTCTTTTTTTCTCACAACAAAGTTTTTTCTTACAACAAAAACTTATTACATCTACCTTAGAGTATATTTGCATTGTGTAGGTCATTTCATTTAAAGATATATTCAAATTTGTATGTAACATTGAGTCTCTTTTAATCTGTTATACTTGAATCAAAAGCGGTAAATAGCTTATTACTTAATCTGGAGAACTTTTTTTTCTAGGACAAAATGGAATCTTATCTTTAATTCGTAAATATATAAGTCATATGTTTCTCTAGGTCACAGAGTCAGAGGTAATCTACTTCAACAAGGTTCTCAGCCATGACAACGACGGCATCGCCTTCATCACCCGCATCCGGGAACTTGAGGTGCCGTTCGAATGCCGCATGGACTCACGGGATACTGTGAGCGCCATGTTCAGTCCACAGATTGAGAAGATCTACTTCTTCAGGTCGGCTCATGGGAAGTACAACTTCGACATGCAACTGTTTCAGTCTGTTACCTTCCTGCAGGAAATAGGTACACGTAGTTTTTTTTTTTTTTTATTCCAACATATGATCACCAGACGTGGTGACGGCACACTCAAGTTTTTTCAACTTATATTAATGCCGCCACCAACACAGAGGACAAATACATGACAGGTCAACACTCATTTTCACCTGAGCGAGGTGAGGAAAGTCGTGTAAAGTGTCTTTCCCAAGAGCACAAGATCGGTGGCATGTCAGGACTCGAACCCGGGACCTCTCGGTTCCGAGTCGCGCACTCTGCCGCTACGCCACACGACCCCACAACGTAGTTTGACGGTTTCTCGTCACGAAAATGTATATAGTGCATGTTGCAAAATTTACCATATGCTGTTAATTTTTTTATCCTTTTCTTATTTAACACAGTTTATACAAGTCACCAATTTTCAGAAGGGGTTTTAAGTTTCTCTTATTAAACAAAAGGCAGATGCGATCCCCCTATATCGCGCGCGGGGACAATATCTGTCTATGAGGTTATGCAAGAAATAACAACTATTAAAGTAGCGAAGCATATGCTGACCATATGTAGACATGATTAAGGACTTTCTCTTCTTGGGCAGAAGGAACCCAACTATGTCCATTACAACTTATGGAAACACATCGAGAAAGAGAGAAAGAGAGACAGAGAGAGACAGAGTGAGAGAGAGAGAGAGACAGAGAGAGACAAAGAGACAGAGAGAGAAAGAGACATGGAGACAGAGAGACAGATACAAAGAGAGACACAGAGAGAGACAGATGCAGAGTGAGAGAGACAGAGACAGAGAGAGAGACAGATAGAAAGAGACAGGGAGACAGAGAGAGACAGAGAGAAAGAAGGAGGGAGAAATAGATTGAAAAACAATACCTCCATAACACAAATAAAAAGAAAACAATTACCAACATTTGATGCAAGTATGTTTCTGTACATGTTTTCTAGACACTTTCCCGTACGTGGTACAGCTGAACCAGCCGCTGTACGTGCAGGTGGAGGTTCTGACTCCTGATCACGATCTCCAGCTGTTCACAGAACACTGCATGGCGACTCCGACAGCGAACATACTGGACCCGATGTCCTACACCTTCATCAGTAACGGGTAAGTACCATATTTATAACTCTTTTCTAAATAAATAGAGTAATTTTGTATTGGGAACACGCGAGTCGACTGAAGAATCGTAAATATAGGTTTAGACCCCGTTCACATTTACAAATGGATCCGGGTCAAGCGTTGATCCGGATCGAAATTCGTCCATCCGGATCGTCTTTTTTTAGTGTGCACGCTCCAATTAATTTCCTTCGTTCCGGATCCAAAAGTAATCCACCTTCCAGCCGAGACTTAACCTAGACGGAGGACGTTATCGCTAACCAGTCAATTACAATCAACTGCTTCACACTCTTACCCTTCTGTACTGTATTGGAGCTTTTAAGATGTTTTTTATCGTTTACTTCGCTGTAGATGTCCGGTGGACAGCACTTTTCTGTCACTGTTCTCGAGCAGTCTGAAACAACAGCGCTTCAGTATCAACTCATTCGCTTTCGTCAAGGACTATCCTGAGGTAAAAACTAACTTTTACACTTTTTTAGATCAATCAGGTTATTTATCTTTTACTAACAAAGTCATCATATGGGGATTACAAAGTTTTATATTTGTCCTGTATGTCCCAGTACAAATTGCACTGAAAACTATAATTTAAAAAGAGAAAAAAAAAACAAAACAAAAACAAAACATGAACATCTTCAAAGATATCAAATGCAGTTCAGAGAGGCAAAACAAAAAGAAATATTCTCACAAGGGAATGTGTCTTATAGTGACATATAATGACATTTTTTCGTCATCATTTCAAACTTTGAAACGCGTTTGAAATAGTCCTAAACTAAGCTTCTTGAGGCGTCTCTTTTTGGGTAGCCTCCAAAATAAAGTACAAAACAAATGTTGAGCGAAACCCCCTTTTTTTGCGTTACAGATATGAATATGCTGACATAGGGTTGGACGTACCGAATTTAACGGGTGACCAGAACAGGTTTTGCCACCCTGAAATTACATTTAAACTCTTTTTCTCCAACACTAGAAAGAGATGGAACTTCCACAAATATTTAGCTAACTCCGTCAATATTGTTCATGGAATGGGCATGTATATTCTTGACCTTAGTAGCGGGTCATACGTGCCAGATAACGTGTGTCTTCCCCCGTCTCTGTTCAGGGTAGGTCTGTAGGCAAAGAGTCAGCCGAAACTCATAGTTTCTTTCATAATTGCCTTATTAACACTGGTGAATTTTCACCATTACTGTACGCCCCCTGGCAGGTGTACCTGCACTGCACGGTGATGGTGTGTAACGCCACGGACCTGACCTCCCGCTGCGCGCAGGGCTGTCTGCCGGCTTCAGCCAGACACAGGAGAACTCCCCCTGGCGACGAGCCGCGGTATAACGTCTACAAGGGCCCCATTCTGTACCCAGGGTACAAGCGTCCTGCTGACATAGGTATGTATTGTTGAAAGTAGCATGTAGTAGAGGGGATTCTTTCATCAAGCTAACCGACATCTTGTACATGCAGTCGTCCCTTAGTAAGACATTCGGAGTCGCAGGTCTGGCAGTTGTAGGCCGTGTTCATGTGAAGGCGCTTTACATGTGGTTTACCCCGAAGCCGGTTTCAAGTGGCTCCATCTGAATGCTCGAAATCACATTAAAAGCGCCTCGAACCCAAACCACTTCTAGAGGTGGTTTCGAATCGGTTTTTCCGGTTTTTCCGCATCGCGATTTGCGTCTGAACGCAATTCGATTTCAATGTGGCTTCGCCTGGTCATGGATTACGGGGTGATATTTCTTTATTTATATGCAACACCAAATTTTACGTGGCAGCAACTTAAAGAGCAGTAATGGTCAAACAATTTGTCCGTTTTAGGGCGCGCTTCACCGCCTCTGGCGGGACCACGTCGGCATTCGGCCGAGATACGCTGGGAGGGGGGCACCAGCAAGCAGGTCGTTGATCCCTGACATTGATAACACGCCACCTTGCGTGTTTTCATCAAACAACAATGAATGCAGTTTCGTAGAATCGTGATCGGACATGGTTTGCAAGGAATGTATGACACGTGGACCAGATGTGCAGAATGCGAGTTACCCGAATAGCGGTTTGGGTGACTTCACATAAACAAGGCTAAAAACGGGAACTATGCGGCTCCAGGTGGCTTACTGAAGGACGACTGCGTGTGCGATATGTCGGTTAGCTGAGATATGGATCCACTCTACTATATACTGTATTGTTAAAAGTAGTTTATACTACAATACTGTAAAAGTAGAGTGGATTTATTACTCAATCTCACCAATATCTTTCATGATTTTAGTTTAAAACTTTTATTCAGTCTGATAGTTATCATTAACAGTCATCAGAGTTTATGCGATGTTGATATATTTTTAATCACATTATATAGGAAGGTTTAGTACTAATACAGAAACATTAACATTTCTTCTGGGTTTTTGACCAGTCTATGTTATTCGAGCACATAACCTATTAATTCAAAACCTCCAAGAATTTGCCAAATATAGGTAGTCTAGAGATAGAGGTTCTGTCAACATACTTAATTGCTGCGTTGTAAAAGGCACAAAAGAGGTTTCGAATATACCATACAAAAGGAGGTATTTGAAACCCCAATAGCACCAGTGACAGCTTTTCAGTACAATATATATTGGTCATTGTTGCCATTTACATGTAAGTTTTCCTCTTTTTTCTTGGTAAGAAAAAAAATAAGTTTTCAGGCTTGTTCAAACTACTCATGAAGTTGGTCTGTTCAGTTGTAGTGCAAGGCTATAGGTAAAAAAAATCGTTTTGGCCAGAAGGTACACTTTTTGCGCTAAAAATTAACTGAATTGTTGGCCAAATAGACAATTAATGGTATATTGTGCTTGTCATGGTCTAAGACTCAACTTTTTTTCTTTGACAGTCTATTTCTTATGTTTACGATTGATATGTCACAATAGAAACTGGCAATACTGGCCTGTGCTAATCAGAAATTAACCAGGATGTTATTTTGCCACAGATCTTGCAGCAGATGAGAATCGTGGAGCTCACGTTTCCCGCAGCGTCATGACGTCACTGGTTATCGCTGTGGGGCTGCTGCTGTGCGCTGTCATCACGCTAGGGGGCGTCATCGCCTACATGCGCACGCGCGCAGCCAACAAGAAGATCTACGTGGCTCTGCCCACAGATGACCTTGAGTAAATGACCACGCTTTGTATTGAGTCTTTTTTGCGCTCTGATAGCTTTGTGAGTGTGCGTTGTTATTAGATTAGATTAGTAGTCCAGATAAAATGTTTTTCAGCTTTTTTAGTCAAGCCACATTGACTTAATTTTATGGATGACATCCGATATCCTCTGAAGACCTCCAAACTAGTGCGTGCAGGTGAAAAAAAATTCGGGCAAAATAAAAATGTTACTAAACCACAGGAATACAAAGCTGGTATTGTGAATTTGCAACTGTACATAGCGAGTAGCGACGTATACGACAAGCCGGCACATGCTGGCTTTTTGCTGAATTTATGAATCGGCTACTGTAGGTACTAAGTTCTTGAGTCGTGCACGTGGGGGATTCGGCAGCCTGGGTGCCGTCCTTCATAGTTACCACCCGCTCCGTATTGTCGCTAACTACCATGGGCTACCCAGGCCTAAAGCCAGAGCCTCGGAGGACGTGATCTTTCTTTTTTTTTCTTTTTGGAGAACAGGCGAAAATTAATGCGCGCGCGGATGTCATCCATAAAATTAAGTCGGTGTGGCCTAAACGTAATCCTAGTGAACTTTAAATTCCCTTTTTCATGTTCTTATATCAAATTTATTGATGAAAATTTTTATTTGCCATACAACATGTGTTTTAATTTTATGTTCACAACAATATAAGAATTAGTTAAAATTGTTGTAAATTTTCATTATAATGATAAGAATAAACCTATGATCTTGTATTGATAACCTCTATTGATAAAACAATATTTTAATGAAAATAACCAAACATTGAGTATTTTAGATTTTTTCTGACATGTTATCTTTCTTTGAATATGATTAGGTATTTCCTTGTTAAAGCTCAGCTTTCTTTGGTCAACATAATCTTAGTGGATATTAAAATGGTTATTATATAGATGGAAATTGTAATTTACTACTATAATTTACTAAGGTTGACTTAAACCGTGTGTTTTAATTTGTTGTAATTTTTGGTCGTAATTGTTTGTTGTCATCTGTATTACTTTTCTTATCTTATCGTTAGATAATAACAATGTTAAGGACAATAACCAAAACGTGTGCATTCGAGGGTCTTCCTGCCAAGCTATTTGTCTTTGCATTACATTAATTATTTTGCTTGTTGAATAAACAAAATGCGCAGCTGTTGTGCAAAAACAAGCGTTTCCATGACCACAGTTTACTTTCACTATTAACCATACCCTTACAATAACAAGCCTTAAACCTTTACCCCCATTGCAATATATGACCTGTCAGTGCCTTTCGGTATAATAACTTACTTGATTTAAGTCGTCTCCTGTGTTTTAATATTAGGAAATGCACCAGAATTTCACCCCCTGTCCCAGCGATTCAGTCCAGCCTGTCAGGAAGTAGTTAGACAGTCGAACCGCAGACCGCTATGCGCATCGGTTCTGCGCAGGTCTCTCTAAGATCTCGTTTAAATCTCGCGCTTCTTTTCCAATGTAATGTGATCCGCGAGAATCCGCGAGAGTTTGCTACTGTTTACTGTTTCGCTTGTAACTCCGCTTTGCGTAAGTGTTTCCTTGTCATACGTTAACGTGAGATGTAAGAAGAGCCGGCGTCACGCTCAAGGTCGTAGATGTACATTACCGGTGGTGTTTGTTGGAGAAACGAGGTTTCAAAGTTGACCGTGCATGATGGAGATCATTCCACTCGAGATAGGTACCCCTTTAGTTTTTTTGGGGGTCAAATCCGTTTGCCCTATTTCATCGTCGATTTGGTGTATTGTTTAATAAAGTATAGACCCTCCCTCAACTATCGTGTGTTGTTTCTTTTGGGATCCTGTGTTGTTTCTTTTGGGATCCTGTAGTTGTTACAATATAATAACCGATAGTAAGTTGGGCTCATTTAGTCGAATTCTCAACGATTTTTGTTCGAATCGCAAGCTTTTGCAACTAGTTCTAACCAATACACCTGGAATGTAAGATGTGGCTGAAATATAGTTATGTTGGCTTGACACCCGTGTACTTAGTTTTGAAGTTGCACAATGTGTATTGCAGCTCGACCTTGAGAAAAAGTGTAATTTCTTTACAGTTTCTTTGCCTTCAAAAATGTTCTGTTAAAAGTTATATAGAACAAAAATTGAAAGTGAAAGAATATCGACCAAATAGTATGCTTCAAAACGATACCCACTTTAGGTAATACGATACGCCAAAAAACAGTTACTCAAGCAACTGGATATGATTTTGAAAACGTCAGACGTTTCAGCTAGTATCCACTAGCTTTCGTCAGTGACTGAGAGACCAGAGGGGAAAGCAGGTTTATATACACAACCTGTTGATTGATATGCAAATAAAGTGAAGACAAATTTTTTGGAAGTCGAAAAAGGAACAAAAGCCAGACAAGTCAAGACAAGATGACGCAAATTAGT